CGGATGCAGGCGTCCTGAGCGGCATCTTGACCCCCATGCCAAATGCCTGCCTGGTTACAGGTCCTAACACTGAAGTCACTAATGCATTTTGAGTTGATTCTTTTATGTGGTGAGAAATAAGGGTCTAGTTTCATTCTTCTGCATTTGGATATCTAATTTTCCAAGTGCCAATTATTGAAGAGACTGTTCTTCCCCTGTGTAAGTTCTTTGTGCTTTAGTCAAAGATCAGTTATAAAAAAAAAAAGCATAGGTTTGCTTCTAGAATCTCTATTTTACCAGTCTGTTTTCATGATAATACTATGCCTTTTGATTAATGTAACTTTGTAGTATATTCTAAGTCAGGTAATATAATGAACCCTGCTTTGTTCTTTCTGTTCAAGAGCGCTTCAGCCATTTGGTTCCATATGAATTACAGGAATGCTTTTTCTAGTCTGTAAAGAATGATATTGGTATTTTGTTAGGGATTGCATGGAATCTATAGGTCATTTCATGTAGTAGTGGCATTTTAAAAACTTACCACCTTTGGTAATTTAGTGAAATTCCTCAACTTACCGTGGAAGCTATATCAGAAAATACTGCTGTTGAAAGACAGACCTGCTGTAGGCACTTAATGAAGACTTTTTTCACACCTGTACCTGTCTCATTCGCTCTGGGTATTCTCGCGCTAACTCACCCCAGCTCTGTTCTGTGGAACAGAACCCTGGTAAGTCTGCTGGATCCTCCTCTAGCTGTTGACCAGACTGAGAGAAATGCCTCACAAGAAATCCAAACCACAGGGGCCTGTCTCACATCAGGGTTGCCATCATCTCCTAAGGGGTTAGTGACTTACAGGTTCTATTTTGTAGAAAGATGTTCACCTGTGTGACAGTTAATTTTAGGTGTCAACTTGACTGGGCCACTGGCTGCCCAGATTAAACATGAATTCTGTGTGTGTGTGTGTGTGTGTGTGTGTGTGAGTGTGAAGATGTTTCTGGATGAGATGAGCATTTGAACTTGCAGGCCCAGTAAAGTAGCTGGCCTTTCCCATGTGGGTGGGAATTACCCAGTCTGGGGAAGACCTGAGTAGAATACAATGGAAGGGGGGGTCTGCCATTCTGCTTCCTGCCCATCAGCCTCAGCGAGCACTTGCTCCTCTCTCCAGCCCCTGGGCTGAGATGTGCACCATCATCTCCCACGGTTATCAAGCCTTGGGATCTTAGCATTACAGAACAAGCTTTCCTGGGCTTCAAGCTTGCAGATGGTACATCACAGGACTTAACCACTGCACCAGCTGATTGGATCTGCTTCTCTGGAGAGCCTTCACTAATACCATTTACTTCCAACTAGAGTAGCTCCATGGTTTCCATGGTGGATTGGGTCCCTCCACCTAGACAAAATCCACTGACACTTGATTTCCTTGTGACAGATGGATCTGTATACAATGCATATACATCCTCTCATGTACTTTTAGTCATCTCTGGATTACGATGGTACCAGTGCTATGTAAATAGTTGTCCTACTGTTCAGGGGACAGTGACAAGAAGAATCAGGCCATACACATTCAGGATAGACACAATTTGTTCTTCTGGGCATTTTGATCCACATCTGGTTGAACCTGTAGATTCAGAACTCACACATCCGGAGAGCCAAGTGTACACCGTGGCATAACAGCCCGGACTTAACTAGCCTCCCAGGCATTTGCCAGCAGGCACCGTGGACGTCATCTGCCTGCCAGTATTTCCTGAAATGCGGACGAGGGAGACATTACTTAGGGAGATCTCCTGGGAGAAACTGTTACTGAATCTATGCACCTGCCAGAGAAGCTTGAAGCATCCCGGGACAGAGCAGGGTGAGCAGAGAGCTGGTGAACTCTGCCACTGGGCACTGCCTGCCGCATCCTCCTCCCCTTCCTCCACCCTCCCACATTGCTGGAACACAGAGCATCGTTATGGGAAACAGGCCTGAGACATTTGCTTGTGCGCCTCGATAAGCCTGGGCTGGGGAAAGCTGCTCATTACATCACATAGTGTTTTCTTTATGAGGACTCCTGGGAACAATTCCTGTCTGGCCTCAATGTGAACAACACTTAGAATTTTCCTGAACAACTGCTTTGTGTTTATCGCGCCGACATCAAAAACTGTATATCTGACAAGTTTTCTTTATTCTAGGAGCAGCCACGGTGCTGTGGACTCCGCTTGTGACCCACCAGTGAGCAGCAGGTGCGCACCAATGCACTTTAGCACTATCACCAGATACAGTATATGCTTTTTCTCCTATCTGTGCCGCCTCCCTTTAATTTATGCTGTCTTGTCATGTTTTATGTCCCATTGCAAGCCACGGGAAAACTGTTCTGTGGAATAAGATTTGGTTTACAATAAAAAGTAGATAAATAAATAACAAGTAAGTAGTTCTGCTTGAATATCATCCAAAACTGGCCCAGCATGTAGGGCAGGCCACTCAGATCTGCAGCAATGATCATCCTAAAATAATTGGAAAACCCAAATAAACTTGCTGAAAATCTTGTCCTCGCCCCTCCCCTCTCATTCATAGGACCCAGATAAGGCAGTGCCGACATATTTTCATCCTGATTCCACTTTTGCTGGAGTGACATGTGGAAGTTTATTAGGTTCTCCTGTGGTCTGCAGGCAGCCATGGGAGGGAGCAGAGACAGGCATTACTGTTATCTTCATCTTGCTGTGCTGCTGAGTACTAGGGAGAACGGTTAGACCCTCGATGGGATCTTTCTGCCCACAGGGTTTCCTGCCGCCGCAGATGAAGAGAAGTTTCAGTCTCAACTCCCAGCAAAGGGTCCAGAGGGACAACTGGGCAAATGGGCACACAGGACATGGAACTGCAAACCACAACGAGGAACCACTGCACACCCATTCAGAAGGCCTACATTAAGAAGCCTGAGCATACTGACTGTCGGTGATCATGGAGAGCAACTAGAACTTCCAAAGACTCCTGGGAAGACTGTAAAACGGTGCAACCATTTCCCAAAGCAGGTCGTTGCTCTTCAACAAGCTACACATACATCTGCAAGATGACCCAGCACTCCCTTTCCAGGTTTTTACCCACAGGAGGACACAGCACCTTGTTTTGTAATGGCCAGAAACCAAGAACTACCCCCGAGGTCTCCATAAACAGCTGAGTGGATAAACGAAGCATAGTAGGCTGTTTATCACTAACGCGTACACAGATACATAAACTACTGGCAACCACAATGTAGACGAGCCTCTGAATAATTATGCTGAGTGAAAGCAGAGTATCTACTACGCGATTTCATTTATATAAAATTCTAGAATACACAAACTAATGCAAATTGAGTGTGCTCTCACCTGAAATGTATAGGATCAGGAGTGCTTCAGGTTTCCTCCTTTGTTTCTCTCTCTCTCTCTCTCTTTTTTTTTTTTTGGATTTTGGAATATTTGCACACATATAACGAGATATCTTGGGGATGGAACCCAAGTGTAAACACAGAATTCACTTACGTTTCATATTTATCTTATACATTGCCCTAAAGATAATTTTATTTAGTATGTTACTGCTCCTGCGTTTTGACTGTGGTCTGACATATGAGGTAGAGGGTAGAATTTTCCATCCATGGCATAATGTCAGTGCTCAAAAAGTTCTGGATTTGGGAGCATTCTAGACCCCAGACTCTCTGCTTAGAGATTCCTGGCCTGCACATAGCATCTGAAAGCAGACAGCAGGCTCCACGTTCCACAGGGGGTGGGAAGAGCAGGAGGAAGGAAACACAAACGGGGACAAAGGAACTTGGGGATGATCCATGCATCCAGTGTCTCCATGCAGGTACTGGTTTCACACATGAACATGTATCACGGCTGATCCAGTGGTACATGTTATGTGTGCTCTCTCCATTACACCTCAACAACACCGTTCAAAAATAGCTTAAGAACAAAGCAGCTGCAGCCACGTGTGCCTTGGGGCTGCAGCAATGGACATCACAGCTCTCACTTCTGGGCTGTCTCAGAACATCAAACCGGGGACGGAAGAGGCCAGCGTGCACCAACCTCATAACTACCTGACTTCCAGGCCTCTGCCCTACTCTGCTGCCTTGTCCCCCACCAAACAGAGCCTTTCTCATCTTGCAGGGGAAGCAGCATCAGTGAACAGAAATAACAGAAACAGACCTCCAAGCTCAAAGCCCACCCCCGATGGAATTGTTTCGCCAGACAACACAAAGATTTCTCATCTTAGCAACCTGTTCTAAGTGCTCTATGTTCTAAAAGATCCTAAGAGTGACTTTGATTGTACCCAGATGCACCAGTGCACCCCTCAATATTCAAAACCCTCCAACTGAGTTTCCATAATGCCACACACCCAGAACCTAAAATATTCAGTTTCCCTTAGTCCTGCTAATCTGGGCTCAAAACACAAAAATTGTTAGAGGACAGTCACTGAAGGTCATAGTCACAAAGTCTATTTTTGCAACTTTTAGGTTCCAAACTCAGTTTCTCCATCTATACAATGGATATACCTTATTTGTTGACCTCACAGAATCATAATTAAGATTTAGCAAGATCATGGATGCAGTGTACCATCCAAGGAACACAGGTTTAGAAAATACCTCCTTGTAGGGGGCCGGCGCTGTGGTTCACTTGGCTAATCCTCTGCCTGTAGCACCGGCATCCCATATGGGCGCCGGGTTCTAGCCCCGGCTGCTCCTCTACCAGTCCAGCTCTCTGCTGTGGCCCTGGAGGGCAGTGGAGGATGGCCCAAGTGCTTGGGCGCCTGCACCCACGTGGCACACCAGGAGGAGGCACCTGGCTCCTGGCTTCGGATCAGCACAGCACCAGCCAAAGTGGCCATGGGTTGAACCATGGTTGAACCAATGGAAGGAAGGCCTTTCTGTCTCTCTCTCTCTCTCTCTCTCTCTCTGTCAAATAAAATAAAAAAAAGAAAATACCTCCTCTTAATACCAAACCATTCATCACACACACGCCTTCTTCCCATACCTAGGGATGGGCCACGGTGAACAGGAGTTTCCCCTTTCTCACCTGGAGCCAAAGTTTGTCATGCTGAGACCACTTCCCGCCAGCAATGCACTGAAACGTTGCGTTCTGCCCCACATTCACCTCGACATTTTGCAGGCGTAGAAAATGCGGTGCTTTTCCTAGGAAAGAAACCAAAGAGCATATGAGCACAGGATTACTCAGACCCCCTGCTCCCCGGAGTGGATGACAGCTCAGATGGGTGTGGCACGGCGGACTGTGCCAGAGTGCCAGGGAGGAGGCCCTGCCCAGTGAAGAGGTCAAGGACCACCTACTACAAACCACGCCCTGTTCTAGGAGCTTTGCTTGTATTCTCTCACTTAAACCTCACAAAACCCATAAGGTAGGCAACATCCCCACTTCATAGGGGTTATATAGTCCGGTGCAGGGAGATACCCAGACAGTGGGGGGACCAAGATACACATGGAGATTTCTGAGACCCCAACATTCCTGTCAAGAGCTGTCAGCCTGTGGCACCAGCACAAACATCCCGAGAATGTGGCCCCGGGGGCATACAGGGATGACAGGCAGGACCATGGCACTGAAATCTGGAAGGAAGAAAAACTGTAGCTGGGATCGGGGGGAGGACAGTTGCCTTATAGCCTGGGCGAGCAGAGGGAAGAAAGCTGAACTGAACACCTCCGGCCGCAGACCTGCACACTCGGCCTTAGCGACAGGGCTGCCGATGCTGATGGAGAGGAAGAGAAGGAGCCTGCACACTATGATATGGGCTGTGGGTGTCTCAACTGCTGTGCCAATGCCCCCATCACCACCACCACCAAGAGAAGACAAACCGCTCCCATTCCTCGGTGGTCCCGTGGGATCCGCACCACACAGGACAACGCTGCAATCCCACACAGCGGGTGGCAGGGTTCTCTCTGCCGTGAACGAACTGAGGTGCAGAGAACCTACACACCTTGCCCAGGTTCCTAGGGACCCACGCAGACAAATTGCCATGTGTATGGTTCTCCAAAGAGCAGCAAAATCCACATTCCCTGGGCTGGCAGCCTGTATCTAGAAGAATGAATTTCTTTACTGAGGCACAGTAAGGATCTCTACCACCATCGACCAAACCGACCAAACCAGTGAAGAGCTGGGCATGGACCACCCCAGAAAGGGGCCAATGGAAAAGTCCCAGAGGTCCAAGGAGGTTCAACAAAGGCCTCAGAGCTGCTTTCCAGGGAGTCAAGTACAAGGGCAGACCAACAGCAGCAACGATGTCACTGATCAAAAGTTCCTTCAGTGACGGGCATCGGGACACCTGTCTTGCATCTTTTCATCTAATTTGACTTCCTGATGTCCCTGCAAGCAGACACTGCTGTCATTTCTGTGTTACAGAGGCAGAAGCCAACACTCAAGGAGTCCAATGTGCCCAGAGCGAGACAAGCAACAGAATTCAGTCCAGGCCCAGTTTTGCCCAAACTTGGTATTTAACTAGCAGGTTCCCTTGTCACCCCGGCACTGGGAAGGAAGATGGTGTCTCCAGACAGAGGCCAGGGTCCAGGGAAAGGACTCCCGGGCAGAGCTGTGCTTTGTCTTCAGGATCCTCTCACTGCTCCTAATTAACCTTTGCAAATGATCCCTTCCTCCCTTCTTCCCCCTTGTCTACCAAACCCTGTCACTGTTTACAAGGCTCAGCAAAAGCCCGAGCTGGCAGCCTTGCTGGCAGAAAACACAGCCCTGCTGCTCAGGCTCTGAAACCAACGACAACAGGGCAGAGAACTCTCACTCCATCTCCGGGACCTCACAGCTAGGGGGCATCCAGGGTGCAAGGCCCAGGCAAGACCCCTCCTTGTGGGCTTGTCAGACTTTAAGATTCCTGCACCCAGTCAACCTGACAAATGTCACGCGGCTCTGATCATCTGAAACCGTTAGCTTTGGGCTCTCCTGTACGATTTGGCAAATATATTTTGGGAGCGTCAGTTCTTTTTTTTTTTTTTTTTTTTGGCAGGCAGAGTGGACAGTGAGAGAGAGAGAAACAGAGAGAAAGGTCTTCCTTTGCCATTGGTTCACCCTCCAATGGCCGCTGCGGCCGGCGCACCGCGCTGATCCGAAGCCAGGAGCCAGGTGCTTCTCCTGGTCTCCCATGCGGGTGCAGAGCCCAAGCACTTGGGCCATCCTCCACTGCACTCCCGGGCCACAGCAGAGAGCTGGCCTGGAAGAGGGGCAACCGGGACAGAATCCGGCACCCCGACCAGGACTAGAACTCGGTGTGCCAGTGCCACAAGGCAGAGGATTAGCCTAGTGAGCCCTGGTGCTGGCCTCAAGTCAATTCTTTAAGAAGGAAGATAGTGAACCATGTGAGTCTGTTTATGTCACAGGTTCAAGGGTGGGGACAAGGTCCACCCCACGTGCTCAGTCTCAGCTCCAGTGTTGGGAACTCTGTGTTGGGTTTTACAGAGGGAAGCTCTCCCCTTACCCTTTGGGACACAGGGCAGACAGCTTCGACTCTGTGGACTGGAAGTTATGTGTCTGTCTCCTCTGGATCCATGCCTCCTGCGTGCTTGAGACACCTCCTTCCCCCACTTCTCCCTTCTCAACAACCGATCTTTTGCTTTGATCCTCTCACCTTCAATCCCTCTTATCTCCCTTCTAGGTTCAGAACTTAGATAGGCATTGGGCCCTAGTGTTAGAATGCTGGAGAAACCTCAGCTTCTTACAGCAGAGATGTGAAAACCATGGGCCTACAGGAGCTCAACAGTTATATAAGTTAATAAAGTGGCTTAGTTATAAAATGTAACAAACACAACCCCACCTCCTTGTCCCCTCCATCATTTCCCTACCTTTGATAGAATCTGGGTAGAATAAAGGCATCTCTGCCAAAATAAGGCACCATGTAAGCACAATAATAACCCAGATCTGACGCCAGCCTCTGCACTGGGGACAAAGTAGGGCGCGGTGTGGATTCAGGGGAATGGGAGAGGCCCTGGGCCTGTGAAGGAGAGGATGCTACTGAAACCTGGCCTAAGGAAGCAGGTGAGACAGCTTTCTGCAGAGTGGTGACTCAAGTGATTTCTCAAGGAAAGTAAAAAAAAATCCAGATTTTATAAAATCTCTCATTCACTGACAGAATTTCTACTAAAATTCTGTATAGGAGGCCTATACCATGTGCAAAGGGCTAAGACGCACTTGCAATGCCAGCATCCCGTACTGTAGCATTGGTTTTGGTCCTGGGTACCCAGCTTCTGATCCAGCTCCCTGCTAATGTGCCCGGGCAGGCAGCAGAAGATGGACCAAGTGCTTGGGGCCCTGTTGCTCATATGGGATGAGTTCCTGCCTGTTGCCTTTGGCCTGGCTCAGATCTGGCTGTTGTGGCCACCTGAAGAATGAACCAGAAGATGGAAGAGTTCTTTCTGTCTTTCCCTGTCTGTTGTTCTGCCTTTCAAATAAAAAGCAAAAAAAAAAAAAAAAAAAAAAAAAAAACCTGCACAGATTTCACAAAAGATGCCGACAGGCGGGCTGTATCAGCTTGTGGTCTTGCATATGCTGTCCTTGTGTGAGTCACCTGGGAACTCTCGCCTTGTCTGGTCCCATAACCAGCGATGCCCTCTGTGCACTGCACTGTGGGGATGCAGGGGGCGCTAGCCCTGGGTCACAGGAACCTGCCCCAACAGCCCTTGCTCGCCCAGCATTTCCTCCATCTGGCCTCCCTCTCGTCACTGCTCTCTGAGGCCCTGGCTCTTCCCTGAACTCTCTCTGGGGATCCTCCAGGAGCACGGGACATGCTTGGTCCTCCACTTCAGTCTCTGGGCTCCTGCCTCCCCAGCCCTCTTTCTCCCAGGTTCTCACTGCAGCCTCTTGTTCAGCTGTATACTCCATCAACAGCTGCTCTGCCTTCCCTGGGAGCTCTGGGAGAGAAAATAACCCACCAGCACCAACTCCAGCCCTAGGCCAGCCATAAGCTCATGGCTTTAAGCATCCCCCTCTCGTGAACCACAGAGACCCAGCCCCCAAAGATGGGCTTCCAGTGAATGGGGTTAGCAGAAAACTGGCTGTGCATCTGGGGCAACGTGCCTTGATGCTGGTGACATTTAAACTCCTGCAGATGTCAGTGCAGCATCTGAAGACATATTATTGTGCCCTTTATCTCGCTCTTTAAACCCGACAGTGCTCAGTAGGAAGCCACACAATTGGAAAGAAAGCTCAATACACACATTAGAGGCGTGCTGCCGACGCTCTGCAGGCTCAGGGACACGGCCCAGCAAGGTTGTGATGGGTAAAAAAAAAAAAAAAAAGGTTTGAAAAATTCTAAAAGTCAACTTGTAAGTTAGAAACTTCGAAACCAAGTAGAATATTGTGCTGACATTTATCAGGCCCAGCCCTGCTAATGGCTAACACTGAGAAATAGCAGCACAAGGTAAGTATGGCTAAGGTACATTCAGAATAACACAAAAATGTTAAATGGGCTATAAAATACAGGCGAGAGGTTTCAGTGAGTAGGAAAAAATGAGTTCCTTTGAGTGTTATGCCGAACTTTAGGTCACTGCTTGGGAAGCTGTGAGGAACTTGCTTTGAGTAAGGACATCAGGGACCCAGTGTTGTAGGGTTGCAGGTAGCGCCACTGCCTGTGACACTGACAACCCCGATGGGCACCAGTTTGAGTTGGGGGTGCTTCACTTCCAATCCAGCTCCTTGCTAATGCACCCAGGAGAGCAGTGGAGGAGAGTCCAAGTGTTTGGGCCCCTGCACCCACATGGGAGACCCAGATGGAATTCAATGCTCTTGGCTTCAGCATGGCTCAGCCCTAGCTATTATAGCTATTTGGGGAGTGAACCAGTAGGAGAAAGATTTCTCTCTCTCTCTCTCTCTTTCTCTCTCTCTCTCTCTCCCTGTCTCTCTCTCTCTCTTTCTCTCTCTCTCTGTCTCTCCCTCTCTCACTCTCTCTTTCTCTCTCTCTCCTGCTCTCTCACTCTCACTCTTGCTCTCCTTTTAACTAACTCTACCTTTCCAATAAATCAATCAATCAGACATAATTTCAGCTCCAATCCATGGAGGGCATAATTCCAAGTCAAGCACTAACCCCCTGGAATAATTAGTGGAATAGCTTATTGGTAAACTCTCCCCAAGAGAAAACTGGAGGATATAAAAGCTGGAAGACATAAAAGGAAGGTATATTTCTCAATAGAGTTACATTTTTAATGATCTATAAGTGAAATCATCAATGCATTAAAATCTGGGGAAAACACTTTCAGTCCAAAGGCCAGTTCAGAAGCTCTATCTGACAATGTGACATAAACTCCCAGAAGCACCCACCAGCATCGTGGGAAGCACTCAGCTCTTCCCACACCCACAGCACCTTGCTGAAGCCGGAAGACTGGTAACAGGTCAGCTTCAAAGACTCTGTCTCCCATTCTGATCCATCAGGTAAGACCCAGCTGGTTCCACCAATAATCTCCCCACCTGCTCATTCTCCACATTCTGTGTCTTCCTCGCATTGCTTGCCATGGACTGGTCTGTGTTCCCCTAAACCACAGGCATTGAGGCGCTGACCCCTAGTGACTCAGCGTGTGACTGGATTTGGAGACTGGGCTTAAAGCAGCCAGCCAGGTGACAGGAGGCCATGAGGGTGGACTCCAAGTTCTCCTGCCTGGTGGCATTCCTTTTCTTATTTCTAAAAAGGGAACAAATCTTGTATTTCATATAAACAGTTTTAAGAACATAATGAGGGGCAGCGCTGTGGTGTAGTAGGTTAAGCCTCCACCTGTGGTGCCTGCATCCCATATGGGCACCTGTCTGAGTCCCGGCTGCTTGTCTTCCATTCCAGCTCCTTGCTAATGTGCCTGGGAAAGCAGTAGAAGATGGCCCAAGCACTTGGGCCCTTGCAACCGCGTGGGAGACCCAGAAGAAGCTCCTGGCTCCTGTCTTTGGATCAGCTCAGCTCTGGCCATTGTGGCCATTTGGGGAGTGAACCAGCAGATGGAAGACCTCTCTCTGTCTCTCCCTCCCTCTGTGTCTAACTCTGCTGCACAAATAGATAAATGACTCTTTTAAACAAAGAACATAATGAAGCTTCCCACCCTATCCTCCCTTCTCTCTCCCTCTCACCCTCCCTCTCCCTTCCTTTCTTATTTTTCTTAAGAAGAGGAAAGTTGAACTTAGAGAGACACCAGAAGTGTGGGGCAGAGAGGAGAGACCATGTGCAAACACAGCAAGACGGTGGCCATCTGTGAGCCCAGGAAAGGTTGCAAGCCCGCTGACGCCTTGACCTCAGAGTCCCAGACTCCGTGACTGTAGGAGTGCACATCTCTGCCACTGAAGCCCCCCAGCCTGTGGTGTGCGGTGAAGGCAGGCAACCCTAGCAAACGAACGCACCATCTGTTACATATCCTAATTACCTCATTATTTGTTTTATTTTCAGTCTCTTTCGCTTAAATGGAAGCTCATGAGCCTGTCACTCCTATAATTCCAGAATAGCACCGGGCATGGAGTCTTCACTCAGTAAACACTTCTTGGATGTCTCTCTACCACCCTAGTCCAGGACACCAACGACTCTGGCATGGCTCCAGAACTCTCTTCCTAATAGGTTCCCTCACTTCCTCTCTATGGCCCTTTAGCTTTCTCCATGAGCTGCCCGTGGGATTCCATGAAGCGAGGCCCCACTGCTACCCAGCATGGGTCTATCCCACACTGCCGCTCTGAGCTTAGAACACATTTTCTGCTCACGAGGATGCGTGAGGCCCACCACGAGCAGGCCCAGCTCTCCCCCAACGTCCACTCTGCTTCCTCTTGCACTCCAGGACGCACTGGCGGCACACAGCTGACCCCTTGCAGGATCCTGCACCTGCTGTCTCTGCCCAGAATGTCCTCCCCTCAGATCATCACACAGCAAACACCTCCCTATGATTCGAGCCAAAGCTCAGAACATCTCTTTAAAGACCCCACCCCTCAGCGTTCTGTGTGAGGAGCCCTCTCATACCCCTGTCACTCAAACCTACCACAGTCTACAGCACTTTCTACTATCTGAAATGATGAGTTATTTAAAGCCATTCCTCCTCCTGTGCTCTTTCTAAATAAACACCATGAGGGCAAGGATTTAACCTTAGTCATTAAGTATCTCCTGTACCCAGCAATGCTCTGAACACAAAGTTGATTATTTAATTGTTGAATATTTAATTGTTCAAAGAACGGATGGATCAAATCCTAGGCTGTGTTTGGATTCAGTGTGGGTCCTTGGGAAGCAGCCTTGGCTAGACCCAAATCAAGTTCATGTGATTCATGAGCAGTAGCTAGATCAGACGACTAGATACTCTACCAGCATTTGTACCTGAACTGAAATGGGACTTTTCCCATTCCAGTCACTCTCATGGATCCCCACATTGCAGTTTCTGGGAATTTTATGCTGAAGCCACCTAAGTACTGAGGTTGAACTCACTGAAGCACATTCCAACAAATGAAGCTGGGGTCACGTCTTGCAAGATACAGGCCATGGCCCATTTGCTGCTTAACTGGCTCCCATCAATTCCATAATGCAACAGTCCACACTCCTCAGCAGGAAAAGGATGAGGTTTTCAGGAGAATCCTAAATCCAGGAGCAGCCCAAGGAGGGCACAGCCCCAAGAGCAGTCGTGAGATTTAGGGGTGGAAAGGTATCCAAATGCCTTCCCAAGAACACTCTCCCATGGAGATGCATCAGAAAGAAACATTTTCCATGACCACAAGCCACAGACAGTGCTTGGAGAAGGGCAGAACTTCGCCCAATCTGGCCTTACAGGTGGTGAGTATGCAACAAGAAACAGGTGTCCAGATAGGGCTTCACGGTGGAGGTGAAAATTCCTATGAGAACACAGAGTTGTGGGATCCCGGAAGAGACAGCCATGCAGTACTCTCTTGGGAAGAGCCAGTGTCAGCTACCAGACCAAGTCCAAGCTTCAAGCCCAAGGGAAGAGACAGGAATGCAGGTAGATGCCGCAATTGGGAGTAAGTACTAAGGATGGGATTGTGTAGGATTTGAGAAGACAGAAGTCTGCTAGCTATTCTGGGTTACATGTGTGCAGCTAAATGGGCTATGGGTAAGGGCATCTCCTCCCAACACACCTGCGCAGTCTCAGGCCAAATATCATTCAGCACTGGATGCTGACTCTCGGGACTCGAGCGAGGGGAAGACTCCATGCTGGTGAGGGACTCACCTGCACACCCACTGGGATCCTCTACACACGAAGTCTGGTTCGACACAAGCATTTCCCAGGCACGGCAGAATGGACAGGCCGATCTGAGAAAATCTGAAAAGATCAGGAAGCGACCCAGGGAGTAGGGAATGGAGTCTGAGTCGGATCTCTACACTCCTAAGATGTGGACGGAAGGAGGGTCTCTCCTGCACAGACGCCAAACACAGCTCCCCCGAGTCTGGAACTTGGGACTTGTCCCAGATTCCTCCAGTGATGGTGCCCTAAGGCCATGAGTCACAGGATGGCATTCCAGCGCCAGGAAGAGGGAATAAAGTGATGATCCAGGGCCTGACAAGTTCACTGCAGAGGGAGAAAGAGTCCTCTCACTGAGAGCAGTGTGGATGAGGCTGAAATGAGAGCAGTCCTAAGTGGGAGGGCTGCAAGGCACAGCACGAGGGCACGTGAGGAGTCCTGAGGCAGCAGCAAACTGCGTTCCAGCCCAGAGTATGACTCACGGCCAGATGGGGGGAACTGAGAGAGGCCCGCTGCAGGGCTACTTCCAACTGGATGACTGCCGAGAAATGAATGGGGATCTTTGATTAGCAGAGAACCAACAAATTTATGGGACGGCATCTCAGCCATCCCACCCGGGGCTGCCCCAACTCCCATACCTTTTTTGCTTGTTTTAATTTCAGAATCCCTACCCAAGTATTACCTGTGCTCAACAACCTGCACCCAAGACGTGGCCCTCTGAGGTTCTGTGAGCCCAGAAACCACATCTTCCTGTCGAAACCCATTCACGTGCCTTAGACTAAATACAGCGAAGGGAGGGCAATTTCTGGGGAGAATGGATGGGTGTGGGGGAGCGGAGTGCGCCAAGGACTCCTGACACCACACCATGAACACTAACCACCAAGAGAAATCTCTGCCTACCCCTACACAGAACTGATGAGCATATTTAAGATTATTTTTAAAGAATTAATAGCTCTGGGGTACTTTTCCCTGTGAGTGAACAGTGAGCTAATTTGCTCCATGTTTTGGTGTTGCTGGTTTTCTTTTTTTAAGACAATTGCACAAGATTCCATCCAAAGCCCTCTAATTCTTCCACTTCAGTGGTCTGAATCCCACTAATAAACAATCAGGACTTTAGACTCCCTTAATAATGGCAGGAGATTCAAACGAAGATGTTTTGCTACTCTCTGCACATTCCTGGAGGTGCTGCCTGTTGAACAGGCCAGCAAAATTATGGATTTATTCAGGACTGATTGCATTGAGTATGTAAGCATTTTTGAAGGATTAAAAGAGAGAGAGTGAGAGATGTTTGTGAGCTGAATGAAGAGGGGGATTTGCAGCCTCAGAAATACCCGGTCTGCACAGAGCAGTGTTGGGAGGAGGGCAGACTTACTGCACGGATGAGCGAGGACCCGGACCTCGTCCACAGCGATGTAGCCAGGATGACCCTTCAGAGAGACAGATTCAAATATCACCTGCAACACACAAGGCGGGAGTCAATTTCACACAGGCGGTTGTGGGCGTTCATCACAGGAAGCCTCCTATCAGAGCCAGGCAAAGAGACCTTACATTAGGACAGCACACTACACCCTGGCAATGGACTCGGGTTCTCCAAACAAGGTAAAAAGGCCACCGTCTGCTGACTGGCAGAACAGTCAGCCACATGGAACATTTTTAATGGATTTCAGACACAAAACAGGAAAAACAATCAAATGTGGCCCGAGGACTCCAATCTGCACCTTGCTCGCTGTGGTTTCAGCGACACCCAGGGAAGAATGGCCTCCCTCCCTCCCTCCCTACTAGCCAGCCTCCCTGCCTGCCTGTCTGTCTGCCTTCCTGTCTATCTACCTGCCCCCCTCCTGCCAGCCAACACCTCAACTCTCCTAGGAAGGGTGAGAGACACGCTTACCTTGGAAGCTCAAATAAGCCAAGGAGGGTTTCCCCTGATTGGATCCTGCACTCAGATGAAATAAGGTCCATCTCTTAATAATACCTCTTAAAAATAAGCAACAACCTAGCTGCTCATATCTGAGAATAGAATAGAATAGATATTTCCTTGTGTAACTATCACCTGAATTGTTTATTTCCACAAATGTGTGTGTATGCTTAAGCTGTTATAGTTCAGATAACAACTTCCCTCGTCCCCCAACCCCTGTCTCCACCAAGGTCATGTGAGTGTCTGTGTGGACAACCTGGGCATCACCTCTGACCTCCGCGAAGCCAATGCCTCAGCTCACCCTCACTCTTGGCTTTCTTCACTTCAGAAAATCCCCGTTTCCCTGCACTTGGGCACGAGCCCCTCCCCCACAGCACTCTGCCAGGTCACTGCCCTCGTTCCTGCCTCTGTCTGGCCCTCTGCTTCTCTGCAGTCAGTGCATCTGCCTGGACCCCTCTGCATTCTCAAGCAGCCCAAGTTCACCTCACCACGTGGCCTAATCACCAGACAGTTCCCTCTGCATCTTCAGCTCAGCTCTGCCACGCCTGTCACGAACCTGCCTTTACCCTTCCTGTACCACACACACGAGTTTTCCCTTCAACATCTTCCGTCCAGTCCCAGGAGACACACACACCGGCAGGAGGGAAGAGAAGGCTGCTTGCTAATCTCTAATCCGCTGACCTGGTCTTCTCTGCAGGAAACGCCAGTGCTCTTGACCCTGACCCCTGCTGCATTGTCCACCCTCCTGGTTCTGGTTCTGCTCAACTTTCTCTCTCTATCCTGTAGCCCAGACCATCCCTCTTACTCCTAACCCTGACTTAGGGAAACGCTTGGGTTTCTCCACTTACAAACAACCCTTCAGCACCCGTTTCACCCCTGTTATTGCAGTTGTTTCAATCACACTGAAAAGTCTCCATAATTTTATCTTTACACACGCCCAATACTTCCTTACTTTCCACTTCAAAACCCCAACCTGTTATACTCTAGATCTCGTCTGTAACGCTTTCTCAAAAGCTGTTTTCACGGCAGACACTAGCAGTCACCTGATTGCTAAATCCAGCGGGTGCTTTTCTTTTACAGAGCAGGGTGGTGTAGTATGTGGGCTCTGGGTCAGAATGCCTGGTTCAAGTCTGGCTCTGCCACTTACTGGTGTGTGACCCTGAGCAAGGTACTTGCTGCTCTGTGCCGTGGTTTCTGCACCAACAATTACCACATTTACCTCACTGGATAGGGTAGTTTTTCAGTCCATACCCTACTTAGAACAGTCTACGGCATGGGATAGGCTCTCAATAAATGTTTGCTACAGTTATTATCACTGCCTGACCATTCTTCTATAACTATCAGTGCTCGTAGCTCTCTTTTTCTGGTCTCTTCTATTTAGGTGCTGAGATTACATCACTCATGGTTTTTCTCATCCATCTGGGAGTATTCTGGGGGTGCATTAGCAGGTATGCCTCCTCCTCCATCTGCTCTTCAAACCTGGACTTCCTCTACTCATTGCTTTCCCATGCATGCTCTCTTCAACCTCCACCATTCACTGCCAGCTCCCAGGCCCAGCGTCTCTACTCTCAGACTTTTCACCTGAACAGCAAGCAGTTCACTCATCCAGCTCACAGCTCTGTGTTTCCACTTGGTATCACATCAGTGCCACAAACGCAATCTGTATGCAACAGAACTGAGCAGGATCTCTCTGCAGTCTTCACCCTCACGTCCCAGGGGCCACCCTCCTGAACTGTGGAACTCACAGATGGCGCCACCCACTCCATCCAAGCTGAAGATCTGGGCTTCTGTCTGGGCTTCTCCTTCTCCCTTTCTTCTCCCTTTCTCTCTCTCTCTCTCTTTCTTTTTTTGAGTCTACCTCACTGGATATCTGAAATTTGTCCATCCTCTCCCATCTCTACTATTAGGATGCACTAAAGGAAGAAGCCATCTTTGTTTCTGTCTTTAAAGATTTATTTATTTATTTATTTGGGGGCAAAGTTACAGAAACAGAGAGAGAGGTCTTCCATCTGCTGGTTCACTTCCCAAACGCAGCTGGAGCTGTGCCAATCTGAAGCCAGGAGCTTCCTCCGGGTCTCCCACGTGGGTGCCAAGGGCCCAAGAACTTGGGCCATCTTCCACAGCCTTCCCAGGCCATGAGCAGGGAGCTGGATCAGAAGAGGAGCAGCCAGGACACAAACCAGCACCCACATAAAATGCCACAACCACAGATGGAGGCTTAACCTACTATGTCACAGCGCTGGTCCCAGAGGCTGTTTTTTGTAGGAAAGCATCAGTGTGCCACACTGGTCCAATCCAGCATCATGTTTTAACCTCTATCCACTTGACAACCTCCAAAGTGGACCCTGTCCCATCTTTCACTCCTCAGTTCAAGCCAGTAGATGGACAGTAGGTGGCTAAGGAGATGAAGAGGAAACTTCTCAGTGGTCCACGTGGTCACTCCAGGCCAGCCAAAGTCAAGGCCAGTACTCTCTCTTTGGGGCCTGGAGCTACAACAAGGAAGAGGAGGGCACTGGTGGCACAGGTGCCAATGGCAGTAAAGCAGCAAGTGACTGATGGCTGCCCGGGAGCTATGTAAGCTGATTTGGGGACAGTGATCACACCAGACACAGAGCCACTGCACCCACATGACAGCCGTGCTTCCAGAGCAGTGTGCTGGGACAGCACAGCCTCTCAGAGAGGCTTAACAGTGTGCAGGACAGGGTAGAGAGGTCTGCAAATCTACAAGGGCTACAGCGACTTCATCCTACAAGGCCAAGTGAACAGAGAGCCTTTCTTTAAAAATCACACATTGCAGGAAAGCCACTGTCTGCAGTGCTGGCATCCTATATGGGAGCCAGTTTGAGTCCCAGCTGCTCCACTTCCGATCCATCTTCCTGCTAATGGCCTGGGAAAAGCAGTGGAAGATGGTCCAAGCATTTGGGCCTCTGAATCCATGTGAAAGACCCGGATGAAGCTCCTGGCTTTGGCCTGGCTCAGCCTTGACTGTTGCAGCCATGCGAGCAGTCAACTAGCAGATGGAAGATCTCTTCCTCTCTCTCTCTCTCCCTCTCACACGCGCACACTCTCTGTCTCCCTCTCTCCGTGTTACTTTCACTTTCAAATAAATCTTTTTTTAAAAAAAAAATCACGTCTATTTAAAAAAAAAAAAACTCGAAACTAAAAGCAAAGTCCATAGAAAAAATCAAAAGAAAATGGAATGTACAAAGTAAGTACATTTAAAAAGAAATAGCATGAAAGCATTCAAACTGTATAACAAAAATGACAAAAGTAAGGAAAAAAGTCTGTTGTGACAATAAATATAAATGGGCTAAAATAGAGAAATGCTCTCCCACTGTCTAAATAATCAAAACATAATTGTATACTATAAGATTAAACACTTAAAACAGAATGACTCCGTAACCTTAAAAAGAACAAGTTGAACAAAGACATAATAAGAAAATGCAAATAAATAAGACAGTTGTTGAAAATATGAATGCATCAAAGTAGAATTTTAAACAAAAAATATAAACTATTAAGTGTATTTTAATTTTAAAAAATACATGACTCAAAACTTGAAAGAGAAAATGATGGGAAATAATATCTAGAGACTTAAACCCATGTCTTAGACTGTAACTTATCAAACAGGAAAAACCAAAGGTACTGAGTACATACAAAATACAAATAATAATTTACTTATTATGCATATGCTAATGAGAACCAACTGAATGAAACTTTCTTTTTAAGCATGCAGGGATTATATGAGAATATCTTCAATATTCTTCAAACAAGAAATTGCATACATTTGGTTCTATATATTTTCTAACTAAATTTACTAAAATTAGAAATTAACAACAAAGTCTCAAAAATCAATTTCTTAAAAGTTATATAAAACCTTCTCAATAACTATGATGTCAAGGTATGCTTAGTATGTCAACAAAAGTCTAGAACACAAGTCAAGTGATAAGCTGAGAACAATACCTGTAGTACATAGGCCCATTAACAGGAAAACAGCATTTTCTGTGTAAAACACTATTGAGAATCAACAAAAGTCATCAACCCTCCAAACAACAATTTCAGTGGGCAAGTCACAAAGGATGAAGTTGGAATGGTAATAAGCCCTGGATGCCAAAGTTTTTAAATGGGGCTGGGGATGTCAGCAGTTCCCCCAGGAGACCCTGCACAATTGGGTGGAGATGCTCACCCCAGTGGGGTGCCTGGGTGTGGGGCTCTGACCACAGGAAGGCCCTTCCAGGACCCAGCCTGCTCCAGCTCCTGGAAAGAGACAGCACAAAGAAACAGGGGGTTACCAGGCCCCTGAGATGGAAACAGCCACGCAGGTATTCTCAGGAGTGAGAGAGCAGCCCTCCATAGCCAAGCACACTCACAGGGAACTCAGATCAAAGCCCTGAGTGCCGGAAGTCAGGAAATGTGACCAGAGCCAGAGCAGAGGGCAGAGAAGTCTGGAGACTACTTCAGGGCTGTCTGCCTCCAGATGGAGGGAAGTGGCAGGTAAGCGCAGAAGCAGGCCATGCAAGGCGGCTCATGTCAGTGCAAGGA